TTCTTTAAAATTTCTTGGTCAATCAGTGAATTTTTAAGCGCTATAACTTTGGACTTCTATCTGATTGAATTAAAGTTTTTTCTTTAAATAAAAATTATAAATACTAATAAACGTTACTCGGTCACAACAATAAAAAACATCAGCAATAATATATAATATAATATATAGAATTGAGATACCGATATGAAAATATTGAACTCTCGGAAGGTGAGCTTTTAAAAGTTTCTAGTTTGAAATGGAAAGTCAGAACTCTGATCTAAAATAAAACGTATATTTTCTGATAAAGCCAATAAATTTTTTACTTCAAAAAACTTTCAAAACTTACGAAAGAATTTTCCTTTTAAATTCATTTTTTTTTTCAAATAGAGCATATTATCCAGCTCTCAAGGAAAACAAAAAACGTATATAAAAAAACAAAGAAATTAAAAATAAATTTACTTTCATCCAAATTTGCAGCCCTCAAGAAAAAAATGCCATATATTTCTGTACATATACATATATTTTTTCAAGAAAATGTAAAGCAAAGACCTTTTTAAACGACAGATATAAACAAAAACTTATACCAAGGTTGAAGCAGTAACAATAGAAAACAATAAAAATAAAATTCATGAAAAATACAAAATTTAAAAAATTTCTTAAAACACAACTTTTTGGCGCTGTATCCACCTAAGCGATTTTGAACAAATCGAATACGAATTCAAAATTTTTACAAAATTTTTGCCAAAAAATTTATTCAAACTTGAAAATTAATTGTCCAAAGTTAACGTTAAGCTATAGGTTTTTTTTTTTTAAATCTGCCTTTTAAATACATTTTCCAAGAAAAAAAAATTGTGCTTGAAGGGGAGGTACGTATGTATATAAATATTTATAATAAAAAAAATAGTTTTAATGTAATCAGTACATTAATATAAAAAATGCTAACCAAAATCCTAAATCTTAAAAATGGTCCAAATTTTCGAAAATATTTTTAAATACCATAAGTTCTCAGTAATTTAAAAGTGCAAAAATTAGTCAATGAAGTCATTTTCTAAAAAGCCGGCTTCACCAGTAATTTAAATGGAAAATGATTTATTCTTTTCTGTCAATTTCCATATAAACCTAAAAACATTAAAACCACTTAAATTCCTTTCGTGAAATCGGCTGTAAGTCCTAATATTTGTAACAAATAATTTTTAAGCAAAAAGCAAAGCCAACTTTAATTCTCATATAAAACTGTAAGTGTATCGTTAATTTCTTCATGATTCAATGATCGTATTTAAACCAATTACATATGGGACTACCTGTGAGGTAACACCTTCTTGCAAAAAAATAATTATAGAAATCAGTTAACGTGGTCGAAAGTTATGCAGTAACATAAATAAATAAAAATATTTCGACAAATTGATAACCTTCTCATCTTTTTGGAGTCGGTTACAAATGTTTACCCCTTAAGATTTTAAATAACCGCGAAAGAAACGATATTTTTAAAACAAATTGCAAATGTGTTCGTACTTTTCGAAAAAAATGTCAGCGTAAAAAATTTTTTTTAATCCTTTTACTCGACTTCAACCATGAGCCAGAAACTAGAAGCTGCCAATTTAGCTCTGAACCCGATGACAATGCAATGTGAAAGATAAATAAATCCGCTAGGTGGCGCAGGCGTCAAGATATTTGAAAAGCCCATATTTGTGGTCTAGTTTGATTCATATTTGGAACGTATATTATTTATATAACCTGCTGTCAGTTCCATCGAAAGCGAAATGCTTATTGATCAATGTTCATAGCTCGCTGCTATCTATCTTCTGCGATTGCGATTAGCGGTCTCCACAAACGATTCCTCGCCGGAGATCTATCGCAGCAGATAAACAATCGCTAATGGAGACAGCATGTTAAAGAGAATAATTCCACAAAAGAAATTGGCGGATAGGCGGCGCAAGAGTCGAGATATTTGAAAAACCCATATTTATGGTCCGATATGGCTCTTATTTAAAATGTATGCTATTACTTGAATGGAAAAAATAACACTATATAAAGTTTTGCTAGGTCGTTTGGTTTTTTTCTTTTTTTAACCCATAATTAGGCGCATGGGGTTAAAGCCATTTCAAGTTGAAAAAAAAAATCTTGGAGTGCTACTCTCTTACCCCTCACGTAACATTTTTTGGCTTAGTTAAGTTTTTATTTTTGTATCTACGTTTGAAGCGAAAGTTATGCTTTTCTTCCTTAACGTTAACTATGATAAAGAGCCTTAATATTTATGACAAAACACATTTCGTTTTATTTATTTAGTCACGGCTAGAACATCGGCGCGTACACATGTGTCGCTACTCTCTTGAGTACTGACACCATGCGACCACTAACGTAAACTTTTTTGTCGGAGCTAAGTTTTTAGTTTTTTTTTTTTGTAACTTTGAAGTCGAAATTAAGTTTTTGTTTTTTTTTTATGTTAACGATAATAGAGTACTTTAACATTTTTGATAATACACAATTTGTTTTTTTTTTTTAAAACTCTTTTTTTAACAATTTTATTGGGGTCACTCGGGACCCCATGCGACTAATTGTGTGATTTTCTTTATGCGCCTAATTAAGCTTGTTTTAAGATTTTTTTTAATTACTTGTTTCGATTCAATATTGTTCAGTGTTTCGTAGCTAACGACTGTTTCTCCACTTTCTTTGAGATAAGCTTCTAGCCTTTATCAAGGCTATTCATATTACTAAGTCTTTTATTGACCTCCATAAGAAGTATCCGGTTTTTAATTTGTCTTACTACGGTCATTTGATTCCTTGCCGATTCCCACGCTGTTCTATTGTGCTTCAGCCATTCATGCTTATAATCCTATGACCCTCTTTATCTCCGAACGGACGGTCTCTCTACTTCAGATTCGACAAAAGGCGCTTCAACTTTTATTTCCGCCTCAATAACCATGGCGTATGAGTTATCTATCAACATTTACATTTGGTTCATTTTATTAATAGTGAAGGGGGTGTTACACAATTGGCACATTGCTCCTGATTTCTAAATTTTTTATATTGCACTTTTAGTACAGATATAAAAAATTTGGGAAACCATTTTTTTTTGTACAGTCACACAATTTGTACAAAACAGTGAAGTGCAAATGCCAATCGTCTTACATTGCATTTAGAAATAGCAGATTTCTCTCAAAGTACGCTTTAAACTAGGAGCACATTTCCGAATCTTTTTCGCGACCAATTCTATTGTAATGTAAAATGTTCCGAAACAGTAGAGCTTCACATGACGTTTCTCAGCCGCTCAACGCTTTGCTAACAGATTTTCTCATCTCATCTCATTAAATTCCAATATTGTTATATTTTAATTAAAATATATATTCAAATGTACTTGCATTTTAAACAAAATTTCTCGTTTTGAGCAAATTGCAACCCTATCTACGAAAAGGAATGTATTAATTTTTTTTTTGTTTCAAAAATACTTCATTCGAAATACCTGTGTGACAACTTAAATATTTACCTCATTGTACTTTTGATAGATGGCAACCCTACCATAATAATAATGCCAGCATTTAAGATTGCTAAAACACATTCTATTTAATACCAATATTGTTTTGTTTTACTTAAAATACATATTAAAAGTAATGTAGGTTTTAAAATAGTTGCTAATCCGATCCAGAAATATTTACGGATAAAAGATTTTTCAAAAGCCTTTTGCTTTATAGCCATGTTATAATATTTTAATTCATTGTATATAAAACTAACTTTCTACTTATGCATAAGGGACACCCCTTTTCGGGTGGCATATCCTTATTTTACATATGTAATTATCTCACCCTAATTTAAATATTACACTTAAAAACACTTTACGTTTGATACCCATATAATATATGTAATATTTTAGAAAGGTTTCGTTTTAGTGTAGAAATTAAAATTGATACTTGCGTCTTTAAATAATTTTAAATTTTAAATCAGCTGGCAACTCTTTTTCCAATTTTTTCGTCAAAATCCTTCCATATAGGAATAAAAAAAATGCTTTTTACAGAACTGACATCGACTGAACCCACAGCATATTGGACAGATAGTAGCATTAGAGCAAAAAACAAATATTTTAAAAAGCTTTTCGCCATATTGACTCAGACATATTGAATCTTCAAAAAAAACATCATTCATTAGATAACATTTTTACCAAATTTTCAAGACTATAATCAATTTTTTTTTACCCGAACTAGTTTTGGAAAAACGATGAATGCATTATCAAAAATTTCTCCACAATTTGGATCCGCCATTTTTAATCAGGATTTCAACCACGTCACTCTTCATATAAAACCAATTATTTTTAACGATTTTTAAAAACTATAACTAACTATTTTTTTACCTGATATTTTGATATTATAAATATACATATTTTTTCTAAGGGCCTTTGAGAACTTGAATCACGCCAATCGCAGCGCCACGTGCTGTGTCCAATTGTAAACCTAAACCATACAGGGGCCCATTAAAATACGCCCGAAACATTTTGTCCAGTAGTATTTAGTATACAATGTACAGAAAAATCTATGAAATCGTGAAATCGTGATTTATCAGTTTGGTTCATTTTTTGACAAACAAAAAAAAGTTTCTATATTTCTTTATTTTTGCAAAAAAAAAACCTACCACAGAGTAATACAAAAATGTAGTTTTTACAGAATTGAAGTCGGTTTAGCCGTTTGATCTGGCATCGCCATCATACCAAATATATTTCATGTTTATATATCGAGGGCTTACATATATGCAATACGATCTATTTGCAATTTTCACATGTTTCTGATGCTGAAACCCCTCTGGGACTTAACTGTCACCTTGGATGTTAATTCTAACTATGCAATAGAATAGAAGATTCTTCTACCAAGCGATATACATGGCTAGCATTAACATCATCGTTGAAGTTGTTAAGCCTTAAGAGCGCAAGCAATTTTTTCTTTTCCGAGTATTAGACCTTACTAACGTATTTCTTTCATTGGTTTTAAAATGCATTGATTGACAAATATTTCGAATCATTAATTAAAACTACTCACCTTTTAGGTTTTCTTCTTTGCCTAACCTCTGCACAACTGCTCGTATGCCTTACAATTCGTCAATTTATTTTTACGCTTATAAATATTGCACTATTATCGGGAAAAATGCACATTGCTTTTCTCATTTTTTCATCACTGCACTCAATTCACTTTTCTAGCAAAAATGCAGCTTTTTAAAAATTTCGCAGGCTCTATGCACCTAAGCCACAAATTTACAAATATTTTTTTTTTTTTACATTAATTTGCCCGCGAGCGCGATTGCTTTTTATGTTCAATTAAAGATACGTTATACACTTCTATTTAAGATGAGTAGTTATCGCGCTGCTTTTTAGTTATTACTTTGGTTACTTTGGCGGTTTTTTGTAGTCTAATTGATTTTTATTTAGTAGTCACCTTGCAAAGAATACTTTCACTCTTGCAGCATTTTTTTTACAGTTTGATTTAACTTGCATTGTTCAAAAAATTATAGGCAGCAGTTCTTTGCTTCTGATACAAAATTGTCCTTAAAGACACATACTTTTTTTGTGTGTTTCGGTACTTCTCACTTACTCCTTTTATTTCCACTCGTAACTTAACCGCAACTAGAGTTGTGTATTACTCATACGCCGTGTACACCTTGGCGCGCTCGAAATTATTATTAAAAGCTTTTATTTGCAAAATATTCTGTTGCTTTGCTCTTGCCGCTTTTGTTGCTGTTTTATAACATTCGCAGTCACGTGTCTGCTTTTGTCTGCCTGCTTGGCTAGTTGGCTGGCTGGTTGTTTATTTAAACGACGGCATTCTTAGAGTTCGCCGCATGAGTATTGCTTTGTAGAAAATTCTTAATTCGCTTTCTCCAAAAGGACAATGCCGTATGCTGTTAAGTGTGCGCGTCTCTTGTGATTTTCTAAATCAACAGCTATTTGTATTCGCCGCGTTTTTATTTTACATTAAAATCTCCTTTCTGCTTGGCTACTGCCTCAGTTTTGCGTTTTTATTCGCTGCGACGAGTTCATGTACAAATAGCGACGGCAAAATTAGATTTATTTTATAAAAATTTTACGACTTTATTTTACGTTTCGGGTTGAAGTAGGCCTTAGAGTATGCAACGTTAAGTACTGATAAATTTAATTTGCTATTGTAATTTTTTTTTTATGGATTTCAAAATTTTATTTTATTTTTTTTTTTGTTTCCGCGACTCAGCCACAATTTACACAGTCTGTATTTATATGCCTATATGTGTGTCTGTTTTTGTGTGCTAGCGTACTGTTCACAACCGTTCAACTTTAAGCGAGCGAGATTTTCTCTCAGTGTATTTTTGTATTGTATATTTATTAGAAAAATGATTATTTTGATTTGATTGGCAAATGATATGGTTGCATATGCCTAAGTGTACAAAATACACAAATTAATTTTACAAGAGTGTTGTATGTTTTTAGGCGCTAGATTTTAATTTTCATTATTGAAATTGATACTTAATTTAATGTGTGTTTGTATAGTTGATGAAGCTGCTTAATTTAGTAAAGTATTCTTAATTACAGTTATTGTTTAGAGTTTTACGTTTTTGCGCTCAAAACTATAAAAATTTGTTCGTAGTATACCTGTAGGCTGAGCGGAAAAGTTTTTTAAATGTTTTAATCGGTGAGCTTAAATGCAACCAAGAAATATTTACCTATTTACAGTTGCATTTTTAGTTTTTCTCAAGAGCAAAAATATCAGTATCAACTGCCAAAAAGTATGCAATGTTTTGGCGTGCAGAATATATTCAAGCAAAGGTTTTTATGCGCACAATTTTCGGTTTATAATTTTATTTTTGTTACTTTTTATAAGTAGGTTTTATTCGAAACAGCCAAAAAGTAGGCAACGCACTGTTCAGGCTTTTGGTAAAGCTACTTTAAGGTCCAACAACAGAGGGCAATAACATCTGCCTAATCGCGGATCAGAGTTCAGTTAAAGCGCCTAAATTTATGCTTTGGAATTTGGTCAAGCCTCCTTTGCGCATATAAGCAATAAAAATGTTCACAGCTTTTTTTCTATATATTTGAAGTTTTTATTTTGCATCACTCGGTATTAAAAATATATACTATAAGTATTTACGCCTTAAAGTATGCACTATTTTTACCGTTGAAAATTTAACACCAAAAATGCGCTTTTAAATAGGCAATGTTTTTGTTGTTTTTAGTTTAAGTCACTGTGCAAAATCTGTTGTAAATCTTTTTTTATATATTCAAGCGCGTTATGGCTTATTTCCAGGCAATGCAAAAGCTGCGCCAGTTATTGTCCAACATAATTTTTGTTGTAGCGATATTTTTGAAGTTTGTACGTCCAGATAAAATGTGTACTTTTTGTTATAAGCTTAGATTTGAAAAAAGCTTTTTATATTTTCTTAATTTTTTGCAAATTGCTGCCGGTTCCAAAATATTTTATTATCTCACTAAGGAATTTGTTTTGACAGGCTTGCTCGAGCTGTACAAACGAATGCAACGTAATTTCAGTTTCAACGTAAGTCACTAAATTTTTGAGCGTACGAAAGTATGCAATAGTTTTTGAATATAGCAGCTTGCAGCGATCTCTCTTCGCGCGATCAAAAGTTCTTCCAAAATAATTGTGTGTAGCTTATTTGCAACCAAATGTATGCAATAGTTTTTATATCAAAAATTTATTTACTTGTCGAAATTAGTACACTGCTCTTTAGATATCCAGACTTTGCAGTAAATTTTCGCGTAAAAAATATGCTGCGCTTTTCAAAAAATATTTACATTCAAAAGCCACTTCAGTTTTTTTTTACAACAGCAGATCCCGCCTACCGCACGTTAACATTATCTTCCACGCAAACTTTTACGTTGGGCTAGGTCCGGATTGCGCAGCAAAATTTTTAAATACACCGGCTTTCAGCAAAGTTTTAAATTTTTTTTTCTAGAAAAATTCTTAAAATATTTTATTTCAGTTACTTTTTTTACTCTAAAGATCGCATATATTTAGTATTGCAATTTCCATTGACAATTGCACTTTATCACTAACACGCTTGCAATCGCTGCCGCCGCTGCTACTCTCGACTGCAACAGGAAAGTGTCATCCTTTCGTAACCGTAATTCGCGTTAAACTGATCCTTTCAATTCCGAAAATTCGCAATGGCTTTTTCCTTTGGCTTCACCATCGTCGGCCAATGCCAAGCATCCAACCAAACAACTAAGCAGCCAGCCAGCCAGCCATCTAGACGAGTCGTGCAGGCCAGCCGTGTCGTGTCGCACCGCACCGCACCACACCACACCACCGCACCGCCGCAACGCTAGCATGCTATGCCGGCTCAGGTTGTTCGGGCCGCTAGTGATGTGCTGTGCCGCGCTGTGTTGTGTTGCCGCTAAGCGGCTGCTGTGTGCATCGGTTGAACGAACCTCTCGAACGAGCTGGCCGTTGCAGCCGCTCCCTACCCCACTGCCGCTACCATTGCCAACAAGCACCAGACACGAAGCGTCCTCTACACAATGCCTACGAACTATTCAGTCGGCAAACACGACTATGGTAGCAACAAATATGCCACAAATTGCAACAATACTAATATGTAGTAATAATAACAATGGCCAAGAGCGTTGCAACAATGGTTGGAAAGAGCCTCGGCCACGATTTTGGCCAAGTAGCTTTTTTGCCAACAAAAAATTAACACACACACACAAACAAACAATAAGGTAACAGTGCAACAACGTTGCGAACGAACGACATAAACGAATACGACAAAGGAATTAAAAGTAGCAAAACAAAAACAAAATCGTAATGCTGTGTAGACGAAAATACAACAACAGTAACAATAACAGTTGTGTAGCAAGCGAATATGCGATGTTGCATTCCATTTGGCATAGGTCTGAAGTGTTTTGCAATAAGTATTGTTTCGTATGTTTGCCTGTTGCATCCAACTCGGATGCAGTTGGGTATAAAGTAAAGTGATGAAGTTGCATAAAATAATAGCATTTTTAAAACAAATTGTTGTGAATTAAAAGATACTTATGAAAAATATGTTGGGCGTTATACTAGTGTCGACAAAATCTATGTACACTCAAGTGCATAAACAAAGCTAACAGATTTTTTAATACTAAATTCATCCGAAAAGTATGCAACGTTTTGTGTGATAACTCCTAAACAGAGCCCTAAAAAATTTGGAGTCCAAAAGTATGCATATAGTTTAAAAGTGCTGCGTCCAAATGAGGCTTTAAACATTTTTCTTTAATACAAACTTTAAAATCAAATTTGTTTCTAATTTCTTGCTAATTCTTAATTTTTTCCAGATTATTTCGTTTAATCCATTTTAAAGTTTTTATGCACCTTTATGTATGCAACTACACGATTTTTTTGCACGTGTATAGCAACAGCTGCTCCGATTGCAATACATCGAACATGTTGTATTTGTCTTGCTTCAAACTTCGGCGCTTTGAACACTCAATTAGTGTTATTGCAAAAATCAACAAGTTTGCTTGTGGCGAATTGAGAGCAAATTTTAATTCAAAGTGAATACATATACGGCACTCCAAGTCGTTGTTTCCCCGCAAAAAGCCAAACAGGTATTGAAAGTCAAATTTTTAATTTTAATTTTAGAAATTCAATCGTCATATCTTTTCTTGAAAAATTATACTACATATCTAAAACTCACCATAAGGCTATTGTTTCATAATTTGTTTAAATTTGTATTGTTAATCGTAAAAAGCTATATCTTGCCACTTGTGGCATTTTGACCTTTATCACGGCATACCTTTACACATTACTATGCAAAGAAGTCGCTTGATAATATTTTGACTGACTTAAGAAGCGTGCATTTGACAAAAAAAAACTGTGTTTAGAAAACAAAATCATCCGTAAACACACGCTAGATATGGGTCCGTACGACGGACACTGGACACAACGATTGATCCCAAAGATCGAAAAATGGATCTGACGCCCACACGGCGAAGGAAACTTCCATTTAACTTAGATGCTCATCGGCCACGGCTGCTTCGGATCATACCTGAAACACTGCCAACACGAATAACTTGACCATTTCGAAACGTGTGGTGATGGCAATGTCGAAGACGTCGAACCCAAGATTTGATTTGTATAGAAACCATATTCGCTGCGCTCCCGAATTTGGGAAAACGCACATTTGGACTCAACTGAGTAGATTCTGTAGGGTTCTGATACCCAGCATAGTAATACCGTGTTCCTTGCTAACAAGGGTTAAATACTGCCAAAGCACTCCTTGGCGAACCAGGAGGTGATATTCCTATTAGAGAGAGACTTTATGGCCGCCTGACTATCTGAAAAATAACCAGA